AGCCTTAGTGTCGTGCTGGCAGGGAAACAGGGTGTTACGGGAAAGGCAAGGGAGGAAACGGGAGAGCGAGCGCGTGCCGCTGTTATGCTTTCTACCGTTACAGGTTGCTGTTTTAAAAAGGGACGCCGCCGCCCTCTCTCGATCTTTCCTCTACGAATTAAGTGGCGAACCTTAACGCGTGTTACGATTTAAGGTCGTCGGGTTTAGAGCCTGTTTTTCTAGTGAAATTCATGTTCCAGCAGCACCTTCCTTTTTTTTTCTTTTTTTTTTTTTTTTTTTTTTTTTTGTTTTTTCTTCGGGGGTTGCGTCGAGAAGACGGTCGGACACGGAAGTTCTCTTTGATCCAAGGAAGAAATTTCGTCGAGACAGTTTTACGAACACTGTCGTAAACACTTTATGACAGTTCGTTCGCTAGATAATTTGAGCCGTGCTGAAACCGACAACGCTATCGCAACAACCGATAAACATAAAACGGAAGATTAATTACCTTGCAAAGTAAAATTCCAACAGTCGTTGCTTCTCAAACACCCCGCTTTTGTTTCTCAATTTTGAACCAAAGGAAATTTTATTAGTTTGGTTATCAAACGAGGTGTAATAGCCGCGAGTTGAAGAGAGAGAGAGAGAGAGAGAGAGAGAGAAAGAGGGGAAGAAAAGGAAATGTGAGATAGGAGAACTTTCCTTCTCCTCCCTTTTTGTTTCGTCGAGCTTTCGACAAATAATCGTTCCTCCCTTCTGACGCAATATAATGATATACCTCGAAGGAATATACCTTCGTGTGTGTATCCACCTGTCTACGTTCGTGCCTGCCTCGTATGAAATTGTCTCGCGAAGTGGCTTACAAATATATTACAATAAGGACGCAATATTCCAGCCTCGTCGGCGTATTGGCTATCCCAGGAACCGTCTGATTTTCCCTTCTGTTCGGCTCAAAGGGATTCCGACTCCTCTGTGTACGTACGTGCATATGTCGAGCTTCGCAGAACTCACCCGCACGGATACGTTCCGGCGTATAGGCCAGAGAAATATAATTCAGTCGATACGACGTCGATCCGTTCTCGTCCGAAAATGGTCGATAGAAACGCTCGGATCTCGATATTGGTTCCCTCGCCGTTCTCTCTTCCCCTTCAACAAGAAATTCGTCGTCGTATCGACGATTAGGTGTCTAACGTCTCTAAATTTTTTCTGAACAAAGTTTCTGCCTGGGGTCTCGCGTCTATCGCGGCTTGCTTCCACTTGTTAGAGCCAATAAATAAGAATTATCAGTGCAGATTCGATCGGCTGCGCAAGAATTAAACGCGCGTTTATACTCCGCTTTATACGCCTTTATACGCTGCTACTCAAGGAACTTCCGCCGTCTATTTGCACGGTTAATTTGATTAAAACGCCGAACGCGGCATATGTCTCTCGCGTCTCCCGTTTCGTTTTAGTCGAAAGGTGGACGCGGGACTTGGAAACGTTGCAGGGGGTCGCGTCGTATCTCTGTCAATATTGTCCCTTCTGCCCTTTTTCGTGCAGGGATGGAACGGGCGGCGGGCTATTGTTTGGCGAAGAATTTTAAAAGCATTAACGCACTCTTCAAACGGAGGGGAGGGGAGGGGGCGACGTTAGAAAAATAAAGAAACAGTAGCGAAAGGAAGGAGGAGACAGAGTGAAACGGAAAATCGTGAACGGAATCACGTGTTTATCGACGAGAGAACGGGCGTTGAAGTGTCAATCAGTCGAGCGTCGAGAGGTCAAATATTTGTCCTGGCAATTATTCCGTCGGCACGCGAGTCGACCAAGGGACTCCAAGGTTCTCCTTTGCCCTTCAGTAACCAATCTACACACTGGCTCGCGAAAGTATTCGAACTCGTCAATTTCACTGACATTCAGATTCCATTGGAACGTGAATAACAGTATAACTGTAGGAACAGTGTGTTAACTCGTAGCGTTAACGACGTTTTGCAGGTGTTTTGCATTTAACGCACACAGTGGTTAGATAGATATTGAAATATACTTTCGCGGGTACGCGTTTCGTTGGCGAGGACAATTTATCGCAACGCATGATTCCCCTAATTACGTAGAATCTACACGCAGCCTGCGTGTCGCGCCGAGGGACAGAATCGATTTTCCTCCCTTTCTCTCTCGTCGCCGTGTTCACGCTGTACGCGTGACGATATATCGGGAAAGGTTGAAGCGACGCTGGGCGAAAAGAAAAAGTTTCGAACACCGACGCCCGCTACTTTGCCTCAATTAATGCGCGCTAACGTTGTTAATTAATGCCGAGCACCGATGAAAGAGAGAAGCGAAGGGAGGTGAAAAGAGGGTGAACAAGAAGGATTCCTCCGGACGACGATCTGTCGTCTGGTCGATACGTCGCATCGAAATGGTTTGCCGCCACCCCTCGTCGTCTTAACTTCGAACATCAGAGACTGCCATGCCAGAGAAGGCCCTGACGATATTATCTGCAGGAGAGTGCTCGAGAATATTATACGTGCGTGGTGTACACACCCCGTCTAACCGATCCTCCGTATCGAGGACCGGCTACTTTAACCGTACTCGAAACGTGGCCCGAGTATCTAGAGAGAAGGTGCGTTCTATCTAACTGTCCTCAGTGTCGACTACTGCTAATCGAATTATCGATCCCTGTCCCCTCGCTCTCTCCGCAGGGAATATTAGATTTTCCACGAATTTCAATGCGAGACGCGAGCCATCGGGGCTGCTGCCGCCGCCACCGCCGCGGGCTTCTTTCGCATTCCTCCGAGCTTCGTCGCGCTTCTTGCTTC